TTCTTCCCACCAAGCATATGGGCGGGGACTCATGGTGTATAATGGATGACATATATATGTATGTCCCAACTTCGCAAATAGGCTTGTCGAGCACGGAGTTGGAACTCCCAAGAAAGATGACTTACTTTATCGGTTAATGCCCAGTTCTACTGCATCGCTTTACAATCCCCAAAGTCCCTAGACTTTCTAAAAATCGCCTCGGTGACACCATTAACCTACAAAGGAGAGGAATCCCGTAGTATCAGACAGACATTTAACTGAATTGACACCATCTTCTCGTTTACTACAATTTACAAGCGGAGATCTTTTTCTAATATATGCAATTAAGGTCACGGTGATATGATGTGTGACGGCCAACGAATGGGTTGCGTAGAGTTGTTGAATTCGGTTACTAAACGGATTAAACCCAAATATCACGTCTTCTCACATATCCATGAAGGTTAGCTGACCTTTCAAACCGGTTATTCCCGAACCTGAGCTGGGATTGTTCAGGTTACGGCTGCACATCCGACGGTTATACGAAATTCATCAACTGTTGTATATGTGATGAGAACTTACAAGCTACGGTAAGCTCTAGTAACAGTTAATATTACTCTCACTTCTCGCAAATAGGCCCTCAGCTGGATCTCGGGGCTACTGTGTAGGACCAAAAACCTTTTTAAGATGACTTGGTTATTCGCTGTTGCTCCAGACAGGAGAATAACTCGAGAAAGGTATGCCTGCTTGATCCCGCCTGACCTACGTTATCTCCATGCACCTGGCGGGTCTGGGCTCGGCCGTGGAACTCGGTGTATTTGTCACTTTTGTTCGTGGATTGATGGTCAGAGGCTTGTGGGAGGACGAAGATTCATTCATATTCTTCAAATTTTTTGAGTTCAAGAAATGAGCAGAATACTCACCCCTTCCTCAGTCCCCAAGCCACTCTCGCAGTTTGAAATTTCTGGAGGAAGGCTAGTGTGAGTGGGGAGGTAGAGAGGAGTGGGAATGGTATTTTAGATCGGGAGAAGATGCTGAAGGACGTACTGGTGTGGATCTTCTCTGGGACGTAGTGGAGGGGATATTTTCTGGAACGTACCTCTTGGGTCTACCTATCGTAGAAGGCGAATCATTGACAATCCAATAAACAATAAATTGGATGGCTCCCATAGTTGCCATTTTGGGAACCCGGATGGATTGCTGTATGGAAGAACATTCTAGAAAGAATTTGTACGAAACTGTTTTGATCACCGGCCTTACACGTGAGAGTAGTGCTACTTTTCATTACTCTTACCACTCATGTGCTGTAATTGAGGCCATTTTTTCAGAACAATCCGGTCATCTTCGATATTCCCGTTCATCCACATACAAAACAATTCTATTTACAAAATGTCAAGAAAATCATGAAACGATATCGTCGAGCAGAGAAAAAGTGACGAGACAAGCACAGAACGGGCAGATTATCGAGTCTTATGGAGATCGTACGACCCGACGTGACGATCACCACCGCAAAAGCAGCATTTCACTTCAACCTCATCGACCAGTGTTGTACAAACGAAAAATTCTCTCATTGCCACTCAGATCCTCTAATAAATGTTTATTTACCTTGTTGTGAAAGCCATTTTGATCGATAACGGAAACTTACCATTAAGTACTTCACTGGAATTCGAGACTAGAGATTGTTTTTCGACCGAATTTTAGCACTAGCTCGAGAACTGGTTAGAAACTCAGTAAATGAGCTCGAGAAAAACGAAGCAAGCCTGTTTCCGATTTTATGGAAACGACTTTGACTACTTCTATGATTACCAACATCCTTTCATGTCTTTTATTAGGAGTTTTTCTTACTTAAATTTTTTATCATAGGAAGCATTATTCAAAATGTTTCTTTCTTCAAAATGATTTTGTGCTCTCTAAAAAGAATTGAGTCGTTGAATTTTCAAGCCTGACAAGGGCGAGGACCTGTTTCCCGGTAGGTACTACTTGGCCATCTTGAGGAATGTCACTGGTTCGCCTTCCGCCGTAGTTCAGGTCCGAAAGAGAGGCAGTTCCTTGGCTGGTGGACCACGATCAAATCTTGAATTGAGCCCCCTATCGCTCCAATATTGGCTAGTAGCTACCAGTTTCATGAGAGTGTCATAAACATTAACGGTCCTCCTCAATTCGTAGTTTGGCCTATATACATATTCATTTAATTGCCCCTACGATACCGCATAGATGAATCCCATTCAAGAACACGAATCCTATTGAGGCGATATGGGACATTATCCACCCACATATTTCTTAGGAATAAAATCAGGCTTCCTCTAAATGTAGGTAGATTTCGTGGAAGTATAAACGGAACTTGTTAGAAAGGCAAAGTTCGGCTCCTTGGACCAAGTTCCGCATGATGATCTACTGAGCCAGATGATGATAAATACTCGAATGTGCTCGGAAGATAAATGACCCCCACCAGCAAGCTGATCTAAGAATAAATCTACTCACTATAAATCCTGGATTATCGATGAAGATTGATGAAGTGAGTAGGGAACGTGGAGTAAACATCCCAGCGTGATCAATCAAAGGGATTTCGGCATTACTATCGGGGATTCATCATTTTTATTATTAGCTGAATTTATTTTTACATTTCCATACGGCAGCGACAGCTGCTGATGGGTTATGTTAGATTCTGTACTAAAGTCGAAGATCATCCCTCTTTCAGAACAAAAAGGTAATCCGCTGGGGAAAGGAACAGCAAAGTCCATGGTTAACGATTCTCTGCAAGAAGGCCCTTGCTTTATAGGAGGGCCAAAAACTCCGGTGAACCCAGCCTAATATTTTGGAAATTACACAAAATCTCAAATTGTTACCCAAGAACCACCCAATTATTCAGAAGCACCGTACTGAACTTGCTTCCTGGCCAACAATAATCTGTTGCTTAGAGTTACCGTACCTAAGGGTGGGTAGGGAGTTGAACATCTACCACAATGATTTTCAGTTAATAGAATCAGATTATCTGAGGTGTCTTGAATGCAACTCAAAATT